CCAGGCTAGGGTGGCTGAGGTTTTGCATTGTAGCTCAGAGGCTTTCTTGCAGCCCCAATCATAGTGCACCAAGAAGCTCCAGAGCTGTAGTGTATTCTTTTCCCAGCCTGTCTGGGTTTGTGGCACGTGGCCGCAACCCCCAACTCATGTACAGCTTACACAGCCTGTGCATTCCCACCCCCTGCGTTCCTTATCTGGGATTCCCTCTCCTCAATGACCCATGCATCTGGAGTTATGACAGCAGCTGGGAGTGCTGGAATTGTGGTTGCTAAGCGATGCGATCACGGGACATCTCATTTTAAGACTGCATCACATAGCAACAGAAATTCCAGTGTCAATTGTGGTCACAAGTCGAGAACTATCTGTACTCCTGGACCACCTGAGAAGTAGATTTATATTCAAATGGCTACGAATACAATTGACTTTCTGCCTGAATGTGTGAAAGTCAAAGGGTAATTGACACAGGTGTCATTTCAGTGAACATCTACCTGGGGCTTGTATTTGGGAAACCAATGTATAGAACTGAAGCTATCAAGGGAAGTGGCTTGCAAGGATTCCACATTATTAGGAAAAAATACTGTACTGTATTAGGTACTATACTGCATTAGGAAAAAGTGTACTAGAAATGGCACAAGTGTGTGATCTTTGTATTTCTACCCATCTCCCTTTGGAACAGTGCGTAAGTTGGCATTTTGGAAAGCTGCTTAGACCTAGTTGTTTTGGAAAGTTTTTTGCTTGGCAGGGCCCCTGTTATTAATTTTCCTTGGTGCGTTAATGGATGGTTAAGAAAGTTTACTGTTGTCATTGGTGTGGAATGGAATTTGGTGAAATTTGATATTTTTGTATTCTTGTAGTTCCCCCTTTGAAGTCTTTCTGGAGTAGCATAAAATTGCAACAATACATACATAAACATAAAACTTAAAGGATTGGGGGGGGGAACCAAGAAACTGCTGAATATAGCAGTGTTTCTCAACCTTGCAACTTTAAGATAAGTGAAGGTGAATTCCTCTCTAGGCTGACTGATTAATTTTGGGAGTTGAAATCCACTCATCTTAAAGGCGCCAAGATTGAGAAACACTGGAATACAGAAATGGGATATAATGGACCTAAGAACTGGTTTTGCTCACTTTCCTGTTTTTTTTTAACAATTTGGGCCTTTGCTGTAGGCGCAACTAAGAAGAGCGTGTGTGTATGCACGTGCCTGGTGGCTTTTAAAAATGTCATATAGTAAGATACATAGCAAGGTATTTTATGATTAATGGCATTAAAACATGTGATAAATTAACTGCACTTAAGTACTTTAGTACTTAACTGTAACTAAATACCATTCTACAATCCTAGAGACCAGACTCCAGGTCAGACCAGATGTACACAAACAGAGGAACTTGAAATAACATCGTTCAATGCTATCGTGAATATTGTGGATGAAGTATCATCATTTTCAGATGACTCAGAGGCCTCGCAAGACAACAGACCACACCATTAGTCTAAAAAAACAGCTGAACCTACTTAAAAGAAGTAACAAACAGCAGAAGCAGTACTTACCTATATAGCTATATATCTATAACTCTTTGTTTTAAATTTAAAGCATTTCAATACTTTTTATTCTTTTATATATAATGTAAAATAATAGAGCTTTGTTTAAATAATGGTGTAATTCAACTTTTAAGCAATTGTTGTAATTCTAATAAACATATATGATTTTTATTCTATTTTGGAGGGGGGTACTTTTTATTTATTCTTTCAATTTATCTAGCTGACCATCTCATACATATGACTGGGCTGCTTACAAAACAGTTAAAACAATATAAAACAACTGAACAATACAACAGTTTGAAACAATTAAAAACATTTTGTAGGTAATCAGGATTACTGCTGTGTTTGTTTTTTTGGATATTTGAAGTCATATTGCTGAATATTGTGTTTTAACATTTTTTTCCTTTCAAGTCCTCCTACAAAAAAACTGAATAAATTGAGCTAAAGAGAAGCTATCTCTAACAAGGTGCCAGCTTAACTTTGGAGGCCAACCAAGATCATGTACACTACCTAGGATTTCAGAACTTTTCCTTAATCTGCCCCACTGAAGCAGAGATGGGGCAAATACATGGATTTGTTCACAAAAGCTCATTTTATATTTCCAAAGTATGTTATCTCCGCTCTTCTTATGGACCTGGAGGGGAGCTGAATTGATCTCACGGATGGACCTCCTTCTTTCAAAGCTTCCCTTTAAAGAACAAAAGCTGCCATTTGTAAGGTTAAACTTTATGATATGCTTTAATCAGTCCACCTGGGATGTTCTTGTCTTTTACCCCACAAGGGTCTTCAAACTTGGCCCTTTTATGACTTGTGGACTTCAACTCCCAGAATTCCTCAGCCAGGCAAGGTTGCCTGGCTGAGGAATTCTGGGAGTTGAAGTCCAGAAGTCATAAGAGGGCCAAGTTTGAAGACCCCTGCCCTACAGACTTCTCTCACATATTAAAAAACAAGGCAGAGATTTGATTGCATGGTTGCAGCTGCCATGTTGATTACACCCTGTCCCAGTGTTGCCTTATCATACATGTCTTAATTCCCTATCTCTTTTTAGAACGCAGTTTGAGGATTAAATAAGGCCCTTGCAGTACTAATAAACTTTTATGGAAGTTCAGGTGATATTCTGCTTCATTCAAGAAACAAATTAATGGTGATTTCCAGAGGGACTGAGAAATTCTGCTCAACCACCATTGCTGTCTGTGGTATAATACTATATTTCTGCTCAATATATCTTGTTTCCAGTTTTCTTGGAAAAGCCAATATTGCAGTTTTCCTTTTAAGAAAACTACTTCCATGGTATTTTCTTGACTGTGTTACAGAAACGGCTTACCGCTACTTTCTTCATAGCTGTTTTTGACTTCCAAGAGTTGCATATCTCAGGTGGTCCCTTACCTAGTTTTGACCAGACTCAATCTTGATTAGTTTCTGAGCTCAGCCAACATCTACTTGGCTACTGACATTTTTTGAAGCACATACAGATGAGGGTAATTCAGTTTATACACGGGGAAACCTTATTTTATAGGCAATTATGTATCATCATCAGGGATTCTTGAGGTCATATGTCAGGAGTATTAAACTGCTGGCCTGCGGGCCGGTTTCATCATACCGGAGCCGCGCCCACCCCATTGCCGGCAATGGCAAAAAAGCTCCGATATGTCGTGCGACGTCACGAGTTTGACATGTCTGCCATATGTTCTGGCAAGTCACCCATCCATGCAAAAGTGTTTCACATGCAGATTTTTATGAGACTGAAGGGAGAACTTTTCAGGATTGGTTTTAGTTACAGCTGGCAACCCAAGGGTGACATGGTGGGGGAAGAAGGTGATTTTCCTATGCAAATTTGCCTATTTTTTCCTCCTTAACCCAAATCTCCTTTTTGACTATGGTAGTTGAGAAGTATTAGAATAACAGAAAAGAATAACAGAGTTGGAAGGGATCTTGAAGGTCTTCTAGTCCAGCCCCCTGGTCAGGCAGGAAATCCTATACCATTTCAGACAAATGGTTGTCCAATCTTGTTAAAACTTCTAGCGCTGCAGCATCCACAACTTCTGGAGCCAAGCAATTCCACTGATTAATTGTTCTGTCAGGAAATTTCTCCTTAGTTCTAGGTTGGTTCTCTCCTTGATTAGTTTCCATCCATTGCTTCTTGTCCTGCCTTCTGGTGCTTTGGAGGATAGGTTGGCCCCCTCTGCTTTGTGTATTGGAAAACTGCTATCATATCACCCCTATGTCCTTCTTTTCAGTCACCTCTCCTGGACTAAGTGCTGTCTGGAAATGATGGAACAGGTATTCCTCAACTTACAACAGTTCATTCAGTGACTGTTCAAAGTTACAACAGCACTAAAAAAAGTGACTTATGACCATTTTTCAGTTACGACCTTTGCAGCCTCCCCATGATCCATGTGATCAAAATCAGGTGCTTGGCAACTGGTTCATAATTATGACCGCTGCTGTGTCCCAAGGTCATGTGATCATCTTTTGTGATCTTTTGACAAGCAAAGTCAATGGGGAAGCCAGATTGACTTAACAACCGGGCTACTAAGTTATCAACTGCAGTGATTCGGTTAACAACAGAGGCAGGAAAAGTCGTAAAATGAGGCAAAACTCACTTAACCCATTTCTCCCGTAACAGAAATTTTGGGCTCCCTTGTGGTCGTAAGTCGAGGACTACCTGTCTTGGCAGTCCACGAACTGGAGTCCCAGTGTTTCTCAACCTTAACAATTTTAAGGCAGGTGGACTTCAACTCCCAGAATTCCACAGCCAGCAATGCTGGCTGTGGAATTCTGGGAGTTGAAGTCCACATGCCTTAAAATTGTTAAGGTTGAGAAACACTGATTTACTGGACGGTAAGGTGGTGGAGGGGAGGTTGGCACCCTGCCTAAAGATGGTGTTATCTTTTTACACCATTCTAAAGACAGTCTTGCGAGTCACAGCCAGGCCAGAAGCGAATGCCTCCAAACAGCCCCAGGACACGCGTGGACGGGTCGGGGCGCCTTTGTGAAGCTTCTTCCCTCAAGAACGTCGGGAAGAGAGGCAGCAGCCCGCGTCGGAGCGCCAGGTCGACAAGGCGCGAAGAAGCAGCAGCAGCAGCTGCGGCAGCTTCCCCTCCGCCTATGGCCGCCCGCTCTCAGCCGAGGGCGGAGTCTCCCCGGGTGAAATTGCTCTGGGTGCCGCCGCCGCAGCTACGTTGTATCTTCCGCGACTTCGCTCAGCAAGCGAGGGGAGGGGGGGGAGTCCTCTTGCCTGCGGGAGGCAGGCAGGCGGCGACGGCGTTACAGCTGCAAAGGCGCAGCCGCGGCCGGCGGGAGCTCTGCCGGTGTTTCCCTTCGCCGCTTTCCTCCCGCCGACTGGCGCAAAAAGCGGAGGCGGCTTTCCGAGAGGCCGCGGCTCCGGCTGAGCCCAAGCGGCCTCTAAGCGGCGGCGGCGGCGGCTTGGGGAGGCTTCCGCTCGCCCCTGCTCCGCCTCCACCATGTCTGTAGCTGGGGATGGCGGGGCGGGGACTCCCAAGGCGCTCCCTTCGTCGGGACCCAAATCCCTGCAGGACATCCCGCACCCGCTGGCCGTCGCCTCCAGCAGCGAGGAGCTCAGCGTGGAGCTGACGCCCAGCCCGGATTTGCAACTGCCCCGCAGCATCGCCGACAAGGTAAGCGGCGAAGAGCGCCTTCCCGAGGGGGGCCTCCGGGTGGGCTACTACGGGAAGGCGCAGGAGCTTGCGAAGGAGGAGAGGTCGCGGCCGGCCGGTTGCGTTTGCATTTTGTGGTGGCGAGGAGCTCCCAGCGGACGCAAACATTGAAGGGGAGGGGGGGGGGCTTTAGTTACTTGTCCTTCCCTTGAGCCAAAATGGTGGGAATCCAGCTCTTGGAGAGCCAGCTGGTCTTGTCCTCCTCGTGGCAGCCTCTCTGTCGAGCGCAAGTTTCCGTGCAGCTCGGTAGTTTTTTATTTGCAGGGTTGCTAGTTTAAGTGGTCCTGCGAAAGCAATGATGCGCGCTGGTGGAGCTGTGAAACCTCGGTATGTTTTATACGTGTCGTGGGAGTCACGAATGTTGGGGGTCGGTGCAGAGAGCTCCTCCGTTTCACCGTCAAGTTTCCCCTGGTTTCCCAGACGGGGAGTAGTGTGTTGTAAACTGCGAGTGTGGCGAAGCGATCTCTGTATCTGGGGGCGGGGGGAGGGCTTCTTTAAGAGCCAGTTTTGGTGATCCTTAAAAGGGTCACGTAAATTAGTTGCTTGTATTCCTTTGAGTTACCTCGCTTGTTTTCAAGGCTAGCCCTCCCCCTAATAGCTTCAAGGAGAAGTGCAATTGTATAGTTGATAAAAAAGATGCTTGATACACTTTATTTTGAACGAAAGGGTACAAATTAGCCGAGGGAAAGGTAAAACAACAAAATAGAGCCTGGAGAAAAGAAGGGAGCACTCTCCCTTCCCCTTAATCTAACATTTTCTTCCACTGAACTGGCAGGAAACTGAAGTCAGATGAAGGTGGTAGCTGCTCATACCTTTCTCCATTTGACTTTACTATGTGCTACAAGGAGACTTGTAGCATCTTTGTGCCACGCCACCTCCTTCCTTCCCTTGACCGTTTACTACTTCTATGCTTCTCTCACTTGAGTAGTTGTGATGGAACCATAAACCTGTTGCCATTGTCGGCAGCTGTTCCCCTGCACTTTTCTGTAAAGTTTTGCTCATATCTTCTCTTTGCGTAACAGAACAGGAAGGATTGGGCTGACCACCGACAACTGATGGTGAGAGGATAAAGAATAAGTGCTGTTCCGGTGAGAGGATAAAGAATAAGTGCTGTTCCGCTTACTAGCCCTCTTCCCACTGAGGGGGAATCAGCAGAGCAATTACTCCTTGCAGAAGCAGCTGCTACTCAGCTGGTTGCCTGAGCGCTCTCATCAGTGAAAGTCCATGTGAGGATGATGTCACTGCATACAGACTAACAGGAGGGGCTGTGAATAGCAATCTGCTTCTCATTCCCAGGGTTGCCTAGAGAAGGTTGTAAAGATAACCACATCTGCCTGTTTTTCCTGTGTCCTGTTGGTAGACTACAGTAATAGCTTGTGAATAGCTCAACACAGTGTTTCTCAACCTTGACAATTTTAAGGCATGTGGACTTCAACTCCCAGAATTCCACAGCCAGCATTGCTGGCTGTGGAATTCTGGGAGTTGAAGTCCACATGCCTTAAAATTGTCAAGGTTGAGAAACACTGACCTAAAATATTCCACAAGGCAAACAGCATTGCACTAAACCAAGTGGTGTATTTTATTTGTCTTTGGTTCAGTGTGTTATGTGGACTTGACCTCCTGCAGCTTTTAAACCGTGGTTTATTTTACTCAAATTTATATGACTGCCCATCTCACAGACAGTGACTCTGGGCAGTGTACAAAAGTCCAATAAAACAAATATAAACAGTTATATAAATCTATTTTATTTTTTTAAAAAAAACAATTATACAACTATAAAAACAGAACTGAACAAGAAAGAATAATAGATGGAAGGATGTTAATAACAGTGGTGCTACCTCGTGAGTTCACCCATCCCCTGGGGTCCCCAGGCCTTCTGGGATAACTAGGTCTTTGGTTATGTACTACGAGACAATATATAGGCTGATGCTTTGGCAGTCATGCTCCTTTCTTTATCAGAGCTGATCTGAAATCATGTTTGGCAACAGATATTTCTCCTTTGTAGATTGCCTGTGGAGCAGGATGCCTGCAACAAGTAATATTATAGTTGGACTGAGATATAGCATCATTCCTTTTCTGGCTGATCTCCTGCCAATTTTAAGAATATGTATGATATTGTGGCAAGCTTCCTTGACCTAATTTTCACAGTTAATGGCTGTTTCCTGAGAAATGGTACCCGTATTGATTGTTGTATTTATTACAAGTATTTCCAAGACATTGATCAACATTTCAGTCTCCAAAAGTTGGTGATAAGAAGAAAACAGCTTTTAATTTCCAGCATAATAAACAAAACTGCAATGCTATACATAAGCCATTAATTTAAACCAGGCCAGCTGTAATAAAATAAAATCAGATGTAACCAGCCAAACAGGTAATGAATGAATGAGCTTAGTTGTTCAGGCAGTATTGCCAATAGGGATCATACATGGATTGATAAACTAATGCTGCAACATTAGTGACTGTAACAAATGAACGAAATAAGAAATGGCTTTGTTTTGTGTTGTTGTTTTACAATTTGGAAACCTCAAATGGGTGCATTTGGAAACTTTCCCAATGGGTGCATCCTTTAGTGCATGTTCAGGCCTTAAATTATTAATTGAGGTTATTGTACAGACAAGAAAATTACAGTAATCACCGAGCAGATGCCTTATAATGTTAACAATTCTACATGGTTTTTGCTGTGGTATCAAATAAGTTTGGCATGTGAACAGGCAACAGGTTTGCATTCATTTTGCTAATGTGATGACAGAATTAGTCATTTTTTTCAAGAGCCTGCTTTGCAACCTTTGCTATAAATTAGTGTACCAAGCCTCTTATTCCTGGGGAAAGACTTTCTCCCTCTATCTACCTTCCAAATGGTCTGGATTAACACAGCTGGAAACTTCAAGGGTGTAGTGTTGCTATCAAGGGACATAGTTCAAAGTTCTCTTTTCAAGCGGCATTTGTTCAATATAACCTACAGTGTGCCATTATACAAGTAGTCCTGGAGTTTTGACAATTCGGGTGCTTGGCAACTGACTTGTATTTACAACGGTTGCAGCATCCTTTGGTCATGTGATCATGGTTTGCAACCTTCCCAGCAAAGTTAGTGGGGAAAGCTGGATTGCATAATGATAGTGTGATTCACTTAATCATGCGATTCACTTAACAACCATGGTAAAAATGATAAAATCAGGTCTGATCACATGATGACATACTTAAGGAATATATTGCTTAGTGACCAAAATTCTAGTTCCAATTCATCCATTCAAGGACTACTTGTAATCTTATTGTCTTAGGGGGCTATTTTAGCAAATGTTCTTCTCATTCTATTTAGATAATATTGCGGTATATAGATCAGATGTAAGAAAATATTTCTTTCCTGGGATGGAAAAAGCAACATGATGTATTCATATGATCTTGTGTCTTGAATTTTAATTAATAGAATAATCTAGGCTTAGCAGTGTCCTAAATTCTCCTCATAAAGTCTTCAAACAAGACATATAATTCCAGGCATTTGGTGGTCCTTTGTTATAGAGAAGATCAACTGTCACAAAATGTCTAGTAGACAGACGTTGTAGGAATAAGGCACTCTACCCATCCTAACTTTTCCTGTGCTAACAATTTACTGTGCATGCATCTGAGACCTTAATAGTATAGTTGGAGCTTTTTCCTAGAGACACCAAATTCCAAGCTTTGTAGTACTTTGCAAGGGGTGTTCCTTGCTTTGGTGCTGCTGAAGTCTATCTTTGATGTTGGTCCCTTGTGTGTTAAAACAACAACTATAGAGATTGGAGGGGATGGTGTCTTCAACTGCCCTCAGGAATTTGCCTATATAAGTAGTTCTTGCTTAGCAACCATAATTGAGACCAACAGCTCCATCACTAAGCGTTGCAATCGCTAAGTGGAAAATCATGATTGTGACAGACTTTGTGTCATTTATCATTCGGTTGTTAGGCAAAATATGTGACTGCATCTTGAGATTTTACTTTAGCATTCTCTGGTACCTCTGCTTGTTGTAAGCTAGGATTGATAGCAAAGCTGTTTTTATTTATACTGTCATAATTCTGAATAATTGCTAAATGAGATAATTGGTTAAGTGAGGACCAGCTCTAATGTTGTAAGACAAGAGTGAGAAACTTGTGGCTCTGTCTAGATAATACCAAACTAGTACCTAATAGCTCCAACCAACATTAAGAGATTCTTAATGTAGTACTGGAAGTTCATAGATTCCTCATCCTTTGTTTAGAATTCAGTGTTTCTCAACCTTGACAATTTTAAGGCATGTGGACTTCAACTCCCAGAATTCCACAGCCAGCAATGCTGGCTGTGGAATTCTGGGAGTTGAAGTCCACATGCCTTAGAATTGTCAAGGTTGAGAAACACTGGTTTAGATGTTAGAATTCCAAGAATTTAGATCACACTTCCCTAGTGTAGAATGGAATGGGATAGGGGTAAGGGTGAGAAGTAGGAATAGGAATAAAATAGGGATAGAGATAGAATAGGAATAGAATACTTTATTTGGCCAAGTATGGTTAGACACACAAGGAATTTGTGCCCAGTACAGAAGCTCTCAGTGTACATGCAAAGTAACAAAATAATGAGAATCATAATACCAATAGGAGGGGGAGTAAGAAGGATAATAAGGATAAATAATAATGCTATAGCCATACTACTTGGGTAAATACACATAGACGTTAGATACAGTAGCACTGTGAGAATTAGGTGTTCAGCAGAGTGATGGTCTGAGGGAAAAAATTGTCCCTGTGTCTAATTGTTTTTGCCTGCGATGCCCTGTGGTGCCACCCCGAGGGGAGTTGAAACAGTTTATGTCCAGGATGTGAGGGAACTGTAGATATCTCTTCAGCCCTTCTTCTGCCCCTCACAATATACAGGTCTTCTATGGAAGGCAGGTTGGTTGCAATGATTCTTTCTGCAGTCTTAACTAGCTGTTTGAGTCTGTTCTTGTCGTATTTGGTTGC